ATGGATTCACTTGTTTGCCGTTGACTTGCAAAGCATGTGGCTTCAAATTCTATTTCACCTGGCTGGACAATTGTCCCTCAATCCATGGGGCAAGACATCAAGCAACAGCTACAAAGCCTGGCTAGGAGCACCCCTTGTGCGTTTGCGGCAGTCGCTTGACGTGCACCAGTGTGCGCCAGCGTGTGGAAAGCTTCATTCAGGAGGAGAGGGCCTTGCAACCGCACTTACGCAAGGTAACCACAGTTTGAGGTGCCTGGTTTGTGTTTATAGATATCAAAGTGTTGTTCATGACCTCTGAAGTCATGCTTGCCACACTTTGCAACGTTGGTGATTTTTGAGAGTTGGCTGAAGAAGCACTGCTCTTAACCCTGCCTCACCCGCCTGCCTTTATGAATGTAATTAATAGATGATTAGCTCCGTCTAAACCTGAATGTGCCAAGCAATCACAATGCGAACATAGAAGCCATACACAAGGGATGTCCTAAACAAACCCATGCAGAATCAGAGGCTGGCACGACAAACACCGCTGTTTTCACAGCGCAAGGGTGGGTAGCCAACAAAAATACAAATGGAAGGAAGGCGTGCTTCCCAGCCCGGGTCATGCAGATGGTGGAGCCAAGATAAATCCCCGGTGTCGGAACCCAGGGTAATGTTCAGCAGACTCGGTCCTAGTTCCACAAGTGTTTCTTGTCCTTTGGCAAGGAGACGCCCATGGCGGTTAGCCAATGGGCCGCTTGTCAAGCATTTCTGATCTCTCAGAAGCCAAGCAGCCTTGTCCACGTTGAATAGCAAAATGCTTCTGTAGCTTTTGGCAGAAAGGTAGTGTTTCGTTTTTGGGTTTGCCAAAGGTGCCAGATTTTCCGTGCTATTTGTATGGTTGTGGCAAGGTGTGGCTGCCTGCATGCATGAGATAGGAATGTGGACATATTGGAAAAAGAGTCCAGGGCATCGAGGGTATTGGCCCAGGAAATGGAGCATTTGCTGCGGCATCCGCCAATTATGTGCGACATTTGTAACAAACAGGCAGGGGCAAATTGCGATGCACCTGTTACTAGTAGCTTCTTGTTACTACTAGTAAGGCACTTGTTACTACTAGCGATGCACCTGTTACTAGTAGCTTCAAGGCATGTCGTTAAGTTCAGGGGTTTGCAAGCAGTGCACCAAAGATGCTGGAATTACCCCAGTGGTTGCCAGTTATTCGTAAAGATTGTTCGTGTATTCAGTGGTAGATTGTTCGTATATTCAGTGCTGTGGTCACACTGTGCCCAGGTGGCCGCATCTTCAAAGGTTTGGACCTGCGAAAATGGGCGCCGCACGGTGCTCCACTCCGTGGCCTATGACGTGTGCCAGGCACAGGACCAGTGGTTCCTTTTCAAGAAGCAATTCGCCGCAGATGTGTGCCAAAATATCTATGTGATCGAGGACAAGTGACATGTCTATAAATATATAGTGGTCCCCAAATAGATCCCCACTAAAAATGTGTTGGAAACCGTGCCACTATCAATTTGGGGATCAATATAATAATCGAAAACAGTTGATTTTGAGCTGCAAATTTGAAAGATGCGAGGAATGACTGCACAGTTTTCACGTCGCATGGGAGTCGTTCCAAAACCCAGGCCCGTGTACGACCGAATTTTAGAAACACAATAACTTGTTCAATGACTCTACGTGGCTTAAGTTCTGCAATGCCGGCGCAAGGTTTCGCTCAGGGATGTATATTATGCTTATTGAACGGAATAATTCCATTGTACAAACTTACAAACAACACATTGCTTGGAAGGAGCAAAAACTCCCTGTGAAAGGGAAGCCAAACCCACATACTCTAGCAATATCTAGTAATTAGTACCACCACCCACAGCCCAGCACGCAAGCGAAGGCTTCCTAAACAGTTGCGCTTGAGGTGCTGGCTTGGAAAAGGGTAGTGGTCCAAGTAGCGTGTGTGTGACATTAAGGCGCTACGGGCCCTGCATGTTGAACATACATGAACTTCTTGCTACTAGGAATGCCAGGAGCTACTATCAGCTTCTCGTTACTACTAGTAAGGCACCTTGCTACTAGTAATTAGCTTCTAGCTACTAGTAGCGATGCTTTGTTTCTAGTGGCGATGCGCCTACTACTACTTAGAAAGTTGGCCCGCACTATGCAAAAGTTTCCACGCAAGGTTAGTGCAAGCTCCGCGCAAGTTCCGCACAAGGGCGGTGTAGACAAGACAGTGTTACCCACGGACATGTTGGCTTCTTTGGAGAAAGCCAGGAAGGAGCTTTGTTGGTTATCTTGCTTGCACTGCGAAAGGTTGCATTAGATCAAGGTTTGGCAAGTGAAGGCACACTGGCCACTGACGACACCTTCCAAAGCATTGTTTTTTGCAGGGTGGTTCCTGTGTTGTGCTTCTGAATGTACTCGATGCATGTTACACAATGTTTCACGTCAAAAGAGACTAAATTAAAAGATAATTCAAGCGTGCGCGCATCCGAAGCGGATAAGGTCGATTCAAGGCTGACGCAAGCGAGGGTTTTTGCGGCGAACAAGTTTTTGAGGTAACATGCCTTTCAGATGGCACATCGCCACCGCCACGGTTCCCCCAAAGTCCTCACACCAACCCTGCCACTCGAGTCCCGGAATATTGCCGCGCGTCAGCCATGCTTTGATCTCCACGCACATGGCCGAGAGCAAGCACCTCATGATGAGTTGCAGCCTCAGATTTCCAAGGTGCTGTGTAGAGTGCAACCGGAAGAAATCCGGCCAAGTGTTGTGGTATGGGGCAAGGGACTTGCCTGGCATTAATAAATCATGCACATGTGCGGTTTCTCCAAGCACCTTGCAGATCAACATGGTTGATGGTTGCCTTGCAGCAGTCGTTATTGATTCCATGCGCCGCATGAGAGACGTACTTCGGATGTCGATGGATGCTGTGTGTGTGATATGTGTATATATGTTGGAGCGTTCGAAAGACTCCTCGCAGCCATTCAGGCCTGACGCTGATGATGACAGCGATATCAACGAATGCAGCGATTTTATGTTTTCAGACGATGAATCTGATTCCAGCCCAGGCAGACGAGATATGCTGTTTCAGGGAAGTTGTTGACATTGGCCTATTTTTAAGCAACCAACATATATAATATGTCCGCAATTTCCGGATATCCTGGTCCTGTCAAAGGGTGACTTATATTCAAATACTATCAGTTTGCTGTCAAGGGCTCGTATGCTTCCTCTAGGGTTGCCAAAATTTGCAATATGACGCAATATGAAGATATTGCTGTGAAAGGCAAGAGCCACCTTTTGTGTAGGTTTAGTCGACTCTATAATCATGATTGATTGGGCAGTTTGTTGGTTTTTGTTTTCAGCTCTAGATTTGTCGGTGAGTGACAATATATTCAACATACAACGCCTAGGTAGTCACCTAGTGTATCCATGAGAGAGGAGGGCAGAAAGGAAAGACCAGCACTGCAGTGGTTCGTTTCTTGATCCAACTGGATTTAAGTGCTTATGCAGCAATGCTTGGTCTCCAAGACCCACCATCCCTCTCCAATATGGAGATGGCTACTGAATGGCTATTGCTCTCGTTACAACCTTGTTTTGTGTCAATAGTATTGAATGTATGATTTGACTCATGAACGCAAGTCTTTCTAAATTATTACAATCATCCTGTGGTAGACTACATTAAAGCAAGTCAAACAGTTGTTCCACTGTTTGCATCCGGCTCTGGATATCTCACATTCAAGGATCCTACCTACATTCTCAAACTAGACTTGGCGTTTGACTTGCTTGACTTTTGACTTGCTTTTGCTTTTCCTCGTTTGAACGCCCTCACCTGCCTTTGCAAGGCAGTGACATTTCAGAGGAGATTGAACCGGGTGAAGCACATAGTCCATAGCCGCGGGCCAATGCCAGTTTTCCTCAGCTCAAGCGTCACGCCGGACCCCACTAATCTCCCAACTCACTCCACGCACAAGAGTTGGCCCTGCGAGCAATGCCTCGTTGTCGAAAGCCATGAAAGTGTAAGCAATTGATAGCAATTGCTTGGTCCGTTCTGCACCTGCATGAATGAACCTGCACCTTTAGCAAGAGATAGCAAGGGTAATTGTGTGTGTGTGTTGTGCTTTATAAATCTAACGAGTTGTTTGTCACTTTGTTTGCCCAACCCTAATTATAATTGAAAGATATTCAAAGGCTATGAAATGGCTTAAAGGTTCGCAGGAGCTAGAACAGCGGAGAGTTGCGTAACTCACCCTTACCGAATCCTTTTGCTAACAACGTGTTGTGTTCATTGCTTTTGGAGGCTGATCGTGCGATGTCAGGCGGCAACAAGGTGGTGAAGAGTCAATAGAGTTGTCAGTCCACTTGCATCAAGCAAGCAAAGTCGTCGATGTTTGGAGACACCTTGTTGACCACTTCAAAATGCAACGCTCGGACCTGGTCATAGGGTGCCTGGGCAGGGACCAACTAACTCTGTTACTCCAGATGAAATGTGAGATTCCATGTGGGTAGCATCAACACCTGTTGTGACATCTTAGACTTTTGTGACAAGCCCTTGCCGAGGGTAGCTGCTAATCTATGTCCGTTCGCAGAACAGGCCCTTTCGTTGCATTGGGCAACGGCTTAATCCAAGACTCCTGATGCAGGACACAGAAATTTGAAAAGAATACGCTGTGCGCTCTTCTTGACTTAGCAGCAAGAAGCTACTAGGGTGGAGGCCTTTCATATTAGGTTGGAGGCCGTCGTTGGAGGCCATCGTTACCAATAGTCCTATTTAGTAACACAACTTCTTTCTAGCCTGGCTTGACTAACCAGTTGGTGCTTTTGCCGGATCTGTCATTGCCTAAAGTGAACAGCTTGATTTGTTTTGACTTTGGTGGGAGACTACATGGTTTCAGAAGCTGATGTTGATTCAGATACGTTTCCATTTTTGCCAATGAGGGTATAATCTACTTTGAAAGCCAAGAGTCCCCACGTGTTCCTTGAAATTTGAACCACAAATCCGCCGCTTGAAGCTCTTGCCAATGGCTTTGCAAGCCACATCTCGCTTGGCAAAGCTGAGCCCCCTTCGGCCATGCCTGAGCTGCCGAGCAGCTCGAGCCCGTGCGTCCTCGACCTCAATGGCAGAGTCTCCACTGAAGCAAGCGGTCTTGACTGCTGGCAGTTTGGCAGCTGGACTGTCAGCACGACGGCGGAAAGTGGGCGAGGTCACTTTGGATCCACAGACGGCAGACTGTGCACAGGAGATACGAAATATGTTGAGACAAGACGATGTGAGCCCCGAAGTGGCTCAAGATGTGGTCCGGGCTTTGTCAGCTTTTGGGAAGATGAGGATTCTTCATACCCAGGTCTTGTACCTAGGTCATACTTTGCCACATTTTTTACTGCGTCACCATGTGTCACGTTCTTTAAAGAGTCCTCGATTCCAGTAGAAGAAGAACTTGAAATATGTAGTACAAAACATTGGTGAGCTCGGGTGAGCTATTCGACCTGGCATGAGCTGGCTGAGGAATGTTTTACGAGACCTGCCAGAAAGCACATGGAAAGAGAGCTTTTCTTTGTCGATGATGGTGGAGGCAATCTCGTCCTATGCCGAATTTCAGCTTGAAGATCCAGAGTTCAACCAAGTTCTGGCAGGTCTCATTGTGAGTCGAGGTGGGGGCTGGATCGAAGAGATGTGCTTGTAGTTTGTACATGTTGAAACACGCTTCTTCCAGTGGTCCCCAAGCTGCAGGCCTCAAACATGTGAAGGCTTTTGAGCTTGCAAAGCTTGTCTTTGCCGCTGCTTCCCTTGAATTGGGTGACTTTGAAGGGGTCTATGCCACATTTCTAGAGGCCTTCAGAAACACCGACATGAGTCTCAGCTCAAATATGCTTGCTGCATCAATGATTACAGACATGTTTCAGCAACACGCGATTGCATAAGAAAAGGTTTGGTAGGTGAAGTCCATTCGAGGGCCCTTCGGGCGTTTGACCAACCGTTTTTGCTCCCAGACTGCGACGTGTTTTTTTTGGGATCATCCCATTGTTCAGTTCAGGACACGTTTGGGCAGCTTTGACCTTTGTCGGTGTCTTTGGTCCTTAGCAAGGCTGAGACCCCATACGGGCGGAGGAAAGCTGGTGGTTGAGGCCAAACCGTTGGCAAAGGCTTTGGCAAGAAAGCGAGGCATCTTGGTAGAAGAGGTTTTCCAGGTCAGGTGACTATCTTCAAATCTAGGGATGCTGACGTCATCAAGTCCAAACGTTTCTTCAATCTTCTGTGATTGCACAAAGACATAGCGCACGAATGCACAAAATCATACAAGATCCAAGTCTTACTGTAAGCCGAAAGTATAGTGTACTGAATACAAAGCAAATCTTGAACTATACTATACCATACACTGAGGTATTTTTGGACCTAGCCTGGCTCAAGCTGTGTGGGCTTTGCCCAGGCCATCAAATGCAGGGACAAGCTTCATTGAAACCGAAAGTTTCATGCCCTTTCCGTATCACAAAACGTCCTCAAGGGATCGTTGTTACAGGCAGAGGTGAAGGGGTTGGCATGTGGTATAGCTTTGGCATGTTTGGATCTCAGATGAGTGAGCTTTGGCTATGGATATTTGGGGGTTGACACGAATCAGAACCTAAACAACTCGGGTTTTACTCCCTTAGACAACAGTCTTTGCTTTGCTTCCAAGACTTAATCATTGATTGCCATTTCTTTGATCAGGCTAGGTCTTTCAGACGATGTGGAGAAGATTCTCGAGGCAGACGATTTCAGTCGCTATGATTCCGACTTTGACAGTTCAGGACCATAGGATGTACGTGATGCAGGGTTGTTGTTGCATGGCAATGTTCAAAAGCTTCTGCCTCACTCTAATTTGATGTAGACATCAACAATCTATGCGACCAAGGGGTGTCAGATAGTTAATAGCTTCCAGCGTTCCTTTCTGATCTTTATGTCCCCAGTTGTTGATTCTCAACTCGACCATCCACTGTTCTATGTTAGTATTAAGTGGCAGTGCAATGCTCATCCAATAAGGACATTTATGAACCGTTTCGATCATGCAAAGGCTGCTTCAGAGAAGCTGAGGGCGGGAGAAGTTTCCTGAACCCGAGCCCGTCTGCATTCTTGCAGGCGATAGCTACCTTGTTACTCGCTATGTTACCAGTTATGTTACCTTGCCCCCTCAAAGAAATTGACATTTCCAAGAGATCAGTGACATTTGCGTCAGCTTGTCAGGTTAGCAGCGGTGCAGTGCTTGCTCCTGGCGACCAGGCACAGCAGCTTCGGCGCCTGGCTGAAAGCTGTGAGAGCCCCGGTCTTCAGGCGCCCCGAAAGCTGTGAAGCCGTGGCGTTCAAAAGCTCCAGAAGTAGCTAAGGGGATTACTACCAGTAGCAGGAAGCTACTAGGCACAAAGGGCATCGCTACTAGGAGCAAGGACGCTACTAGGGGCTCCTGGCCTTACTACTAGGAGCAAGAAGCTACTAGTAGCTAAGGGTATTCCTACTTGTAGCTTCTTGTTACTAGTAGTAATGCCCTTGTTACTAGTAGCGATGCACTTGCTACTACAAACGGTGGACACCGGCTCCAAAGTCTCAAGGCAATGGGTCATTGTGGATTGGTGAAAGAGTTTTACTTCTCTTCGTTCCTTTTCTTGTTTGTTGTGCCACCACAAGAACGTATGTACAGTAAGGCAATTTATGTATCTTATCTTTCAATCAACGTTTTTGTCTCCTTTGCCACAGTGGAACTTCGACTGATAGACTTGATGTTATATTCTGTGCGGGTAGCAAGGAGCTATTTTTTCTTCCTAACCAAGCCGCAACTACCACAACACACAGGAGGCTTTGCAGCTTTTTTCAAAACCATTTCGACATTTGTGTACCCCAGTTGCACGAGATGCTTCCACTTCGGACAAGTCATATTCTGGGTTTTGAATAAACTGTTCTGTCATTTGTTGTCAAAGTTATCGTCTCACAAGGTGTCAATCTATAGTCCACCTAGGACCTATGTTACTTATTGCTGTTCAGACGGCCTGTCCAGCTTCAGTTGCGATTCATATCGTCAATTGATTGTTAAAGCAAACGCTGGCTTTTTACAAACCTTTCTGTTCTTGATCGTTTCTTTCCATTTTGATGACCGGCACTCCTGCATCATTTGATACATGATACATTGATATACATTGATATTCATTCATTCAAGGTAGGCAGGGTCGGTGATGAGGAATTATTTGATGTCATTCAGTTCACTCACTCCTTTTTAGCTTGAGGCTCAAGCCAAAAAGGAGTGTCGCTCCACAAGAATCAGTGTTGCTGATTCTTAAGATTTTTGTTGGTGCGAGCCATGGCTGCTGCAAATGCTCGACGCGCGGTTGAGCAGGAAAAGCTGCATACATGGTGTGCTCGAGTGGGCATCGAGAGCGCCAGCGATTTGGCATTTTGGTTCACCTCCTACGACCAGGCCCTTCATGAAGCAGGTCGTGCAGTAGCGGATGGGTGGGATCTTGCTCGCCGTGAGAGGGAGCCAGGGATGGCTGCCCTGGCTCGCAACCTTTTTGTGCGGGAGATAGTTTGTCAGTCCCGTCCGCCCCAGCCTTCTTCTGGTGTGGCTACCTCTTTGCCTTCCTCTTCGGTGGCCCGCTCTAGGCCGTCTTCATTTGCAGGGCCTGTCAAGCCCAAGAAGCAGTCAGCACGCCCGTCCGGCGACAAAGGGGGGATCGCCTCTTTGTTCATTCGAGATTTGTTGGGCATCACGGTGACGCTGATGCCACCACCGTTTGCCCGCCACGACCGTGGCTCTACACGTGTATTTACCTTTTTGGGCTGGATGATTCGTAATTTTTGTGTCCCACTGGATTTGAGTGAATCTTCAAAGCCTGCCCCTGTCCGGAGCACTCGGTTGGGACAGGGGCAGTCACAGGCGGCACCTCTGGAGCCTGGCATGGTGACACATTTGTTGGGAGTTTTGGAGTTTACAGTCGAGCATGCTCACTGGTCTATTTTGATGGCTGCCGCTGCTATGGTGTTCGGGCTTATTTGTTTTTGTCATGTCCAAAGGAGCTACTGGTGCGAACGCGGTCATCATGACTTTCTGGTGTTTCAAAGGAAAGATCGGCACTCGTGACAGATTCGCCTGGTCACTCCCACGCACATTGGGCAGTCTTGACCTCTATGCCATCTGGAAGCGGTGTTTTGGCTGGGCAGCATTTTGGTTTCTACAGCTTCAGACGTGTGGTGCCCACGTTGGCTGGTATTGTGCGGCTCACAGATACCGAGCGCCTGGCTGTCGGCCGATGGACGGATGCTGCTAGTGGTACTTCTACAGCACAGACTCCTTTACGATATGATGCACAGAAACAAAAACAGGGCCATCAACTTCGGCTTGCGGCATCGTTGTTTCTGGCCAGCGCACCCGAGGTTTTGTGGGAAGAGATCAAAAGTACCCCCGCTGTGGAGCGGAGGGCTGAGGCCATGGTGGCCGCCGACGAATTGCTGTCAGGGAGGGAACCCCCGGGTGGTTCGACTATCGTCGGAAGACATCCCTGGCATGCCTATGGTTGCCCGCCTCCCTGACCGTTATTCGTACAGCTGGGAAGAAGATCATTCGGGCTTGGCGTAAGCGGGCGGCCTCTACCTTGGTGCCGGGACCTTCATCCTTTCCATCGATGCCAAAGCCTACGGTGTCGCCACGACTGGCGCCTAAGCAGGCCGAGCCTCCCCTGCAGAGGAGACGCCTCCCACAGAAGACGGCGGCGCAGGTGTCTCCTGCTCCTGTGGTACTGCCTGTACCGGCCAGTCCGGCCGCGGTGGCTCCGCCTGCTCCTGCCAGGGGCCCGGGGACTCCGGTTGTGGCCGTCAAGAAAAAGCCGCAGCCGCCTGCTGCAAAGGCTCGACCTCCGCCGCCGGCGGGGCCGCTCAACGAGGTCTCCGACGCGATGTTCGATATCGCTGCTCGTGAACGTTGGGCACAACCTGGCTGCTGGGTTCAACGTTTTGGTCCGCTGTCAGGCCGGCGGGCACAGAGCGCCAATCCTCATGGCCATCCTCCTTGCCTGGCTCAGGCGAACCAACTTCGACCACGAGTACGACAGATTGGAAGGCATGAAGGCTGTAGATCGCCAAGGTGTTCTGAGACGGCGTGGCGGCGAAGCGCTGTTTAGTTGGGCACGTTCGAGCTGCGCAGGAAACCTGCCCCAGCTACCAAGGTACCCTGTCGTTTTTATCTGTTCAGCAAAGGCAGGGGCCTTACGGCATGTAGAGCGCGAAGGCGCCCCGTGGTGCCGTTGGAGACAGGCGTCTCCGGGGTTTCGTGGCGATACCCACCGTGCTGCATCGGTGCACGAGGCGTTGGGGTATGCGATCGCCAGATTTGCAAGTCCTGCCAGGCTGTGCTTCCCGGTCCGGACCGACGTGCACTGGCCTAGGCTGTACTAATAGTGAATTTGTGTCAAAGGGCGCACTGTCTTGTCCTGGGGACATGTGAGACCGGATGAGCGCCGATTTTGTGTTTACAGTTGTTCACAGTTGCAGCTTAGTTCATACCAAGTTCGATCGTTCCTCATGGACCGACCCCAGGCTATCCAGTGGGCGGCTGTTGCCATGGCGCCCTTGGACGGAAGCGCGGCGGGGCAAGGCAGTTGAGTTACGGGATTTGGGACAGCAGGCTCGTCTAGCCCTGGAGTCCCTGTCCCTTACTGATTCCCCCTGGCTGGGGGTGAGCTGGATTGAGTGGCGGGATGAGATTCAAGACATCCCTGTGGGAATTCGCCCAGCCTGAGCCGGAACTTCACTCATCGTTGGGGGCACGGCCGGTCAGGGGTCTGTTCCCCCCTTGCATACCTATAGTACGGGCCCTTTGCAGTGAGATATGGGAGTTGAATACCACATTGGCCCCGGATGAGCGACATCCCCTGCGTATGGTTTTGACGATGGTCCACGATGAGGTGACACCGTTAACGACGCCCTGAACTGGGATGCTTTGCGCTGCCTGGGCTTGGAGCTCAATGAGTTGGCACCGCAGTTAGAGTAATGTGCTCATGTGGGGTTTTTGATAAAAGAGGCTCGAGTTCGATGGTGTGTGTTGGTTCTATAGGCCTCATTTTTCTGTGGTTGCATTTTGTATTCTTTTGGTGTGTTGCAGCTGTCTTCAAGTTTCAAGTATTCAATTCGATCTCGTCGGTCACTCATTTGAAATGTCGATCGTATTTTCTAAGCAGTTGCCTACATTTGATGATATATTCACGGCCTTGGCCGTATAGTTCAATGTCGATATTTGCATCAAAGACGAGATCCTCGAGTTGGGCATTCGCACATTGGCTGAGTTTCGCCATTACCCTCGGACTGAGGAGGAAGTCAAGTTTTTTTTGTGGATAGCTTGTTATTTTGATTGGAGGACAATCTCGCTCGCTTGCAGGTTGTTTGTCTTTGCTTTGAGAGGCTATGTTGGATGTCGAGCATGCGGCCGCTAGTTTGCCGCCCGCCCCTACCGAGGACGAGACCTTGTTGTCTACATTGGAACTCGGTTTTTCTTTTAAAGGAAGTTTTCTACAAGTGTTACCACCTCCGCCCGGAATCTCGCCAGTTCCCCTCGGACCGCTTGTTGAGCAAGCTGAGCCGCTAGTTGTACCAGGGGCAGTTGGAAGTCATGGATTTGTGGAGCGTCAGATCCCGGACGTTTCAGCGGACGCATGGTCAGAAGCGTCGCAAGGTGGGGGATGGTTTGTATTTTCAGGAGGATGACACTGAAGAGGACATGTCCAAAATTCGGTTGGCCTACCTCATGAAGCTCGAGACCTACCTGTTGGCTCTGGCTATTGTGGGCTGCCGGCCCTTGGATCCGCTGAAAGCCTGGTTTCGAATAGCTTGGACTACGTGCAAGTGCCCTATGATACTTTGTTTTGGTACTACGCCCTGTGCCAGGACCTGGTCTACCGCACGGCTGACTCGAAGCGCCTCAACGTGTTGCAGCACTTGGACGTCGAGGAGCGGGGGCAGTGGTCTGCCCGGACTGCGGTTGGCACGTCACTGGGATCGGTGATCCATGCAGTGCACCGCGAGCGTGACGCGCTCATGGATTGCGGGGGCCCGGCCGGGGCCGGTGGTGGGTGGTGGGGGGGGCACCCCCACCCCATCCTCTGCGGCTGGGTCGCAGCAGGTGGACTTCGCCGGGCGGGCAGGTTCTGTGGTCCACAGCCTTCGAGATGGCACAGCTCTATGCAGTGATTTTCAACGTGGCCGTTGCAAGAACAAGCGCAATGAGTGACCCAAGGGTGTTCATCGTTGTGGAGTCCTTCTGAAGTCCGGCCGCGTTTGTGGATCATGGCAGC